TTCAGTTTGTGAACGTGCACTATTGTATGCACACGTATTACGACTTAGGTAGTAACTACAGTTATGAACGCGGAATAGGCCGGCCTTAGAAAAAGCTTTACTTGAATATTCAGTCGCGATCATGCGGTGCCGATGACGTCCGAACACCGGCGTCAGCGAAGACAGCCGATCGCCTTTATACAACTTGTTTGGTAAATACAATCGGTTCAAGTTCTTTGTATCTTTAGTGGTGAGTATTATATAGTATGTTAGTGCAATATTATTATTTCGATATGAGTCGATGATGCAAAAAATGTGTCAGGATCGTAGCAAGTAAAAGGTTGTGGTCTCTGACTACATCGATGAATAAAAAAACGTGAAGTGTATATGTACATTCAAAGTCAATAAATTTACACTTAAAAAGTCATTTTCTTAAACTTTCCCGCATGGAAGCTGCTCTTTTCAAATAAACTCAAATTCTGTGGAATAACAATTTGAATCAAATTTGTGTGGAATCTAGAGTCATGTCGTCTTTCCATACATCTTTATCTAACACTTTGTTTCAATTTTGTAATATGACTTTTCAATTTAAATACTTTCAATGTGATTTTTAAACTTAGGAACGTACTCGGTGTAGTCGGCCGTTGTTTACTACTTGTACTCGGCCGAATAACTGAGTGCATGAGAAGAGTTACTCGGTTAAAATAAAGCATTACAACTATAGACAGAATAAAGTAAAACCAACAATATATGTAAAATAATCAAAACAGATTTATTCCTTAGAATTTATTTCTAGACAATTCTAACAATTTGTAGCAATTTAGTAATTTACAAAGAAAGTTTACATTATTAATATTTAAAATTTAATAAAGGCAAGTTATGATGAAGGAATACAAGGCTTTCTGCGCGTTCAGGTAATAGTGTGTTCTTTTTTTTCCTATACATGAGCCGCTTCGGAAAATAACCGCTCGCCTTACACAGTGCTTGCAGGTGCACATATAAACACTCGTGCTAACTGTGCCAGTTTTGGATATCTTGTTTTATACCCTGCCCACCATTGGAAAGGACTCTGCTCTCGAGACAATAAACTTTCATTGACGTATCGGTCTAATTCTAGAGCAAAAGGACTTTAGGATCATCGCGTACCGGTTGTAATGTACCGAGTAACTCGGCCGAGTTCTCGGCTCGGCAAATGTTAAACCGAGTAATATTCGGTACTCGGTTACTCGGTAAAAGTTGTACTGGTCGCATCTCCATTAATAAGTGATAATCTTAGTATATGCTCCGGAATCTTATTGTAGAAACGTCTCACTGACGGGCACGTATCTCCTCTGAGGCGAGGGTTTAGGCCATAGTCCGCAAAGTTGGTCCAATGCGGGTTAGGGACTTCAACACGTTTTCTGAGGGTTGTGAATCTTCTTCGACGTTCAGATTACTGTTTTTCCTTTATACGGTAAATTTCACTCTGCTCGAGAACCGGTAGGTCAAACCGTTAGGCTACCACGGCTTTGGAAAAAAAGGTATACAGGTCCCCATAAAAGAATCGTTTACTGAATGAATGAATTTTGGAGTTAAAGTTAATATTGTGGATATCTTCTTTCTTAATGACACTAAGTATATTCACATTATTATGTTACGGTAAACACAGCCGTAACAAAGCTACTAGACATTGGCTTAACTTTCATAATGAATAGTGTCTATAAAAAGAAAGCGCGGAATAAGAGTGTAGTGTTCGCAGATTAATGACCGGCCGCAATACCACCTGAGACCTTTGTACTTACTGTATCACTATAGTATAATTAGACATATACCGTATACTTATCTAGTGTGTTTATATCTGCTGTGGATGTGGATGTGTATGGATTTTTTTCATAAGTAAGGTACAACAAAAGCTTAAATACTAAAGTAAAACTAGGATTAAATTATATAAAATTGGGTCCCCGCCATTGTTGAATTATTTAAAATTGAAGGAAGTAGTAGTGAAACTCAAAGAATAAAAACCAAAAAAAGACAGTAAATTGACTAACCACACCAAGTGCCTGGTCTCAATTTAGGGAATTCCCTGTCCTATGAGTACCAGAGCAACGGATTCACTCTGGTCCTACAGGAAATCGAACCCAGGACTCTCTCATCCAGCGCCCACAGAATAAACGTTTGGGCCACCAAGGTCGTTGTAGGTGAGGTGTAAAGTAATTGAGAATGTTCAATAAATATTGGTTAGGAGTTAGTTGGTAAAATCACTTATAGTTTCAGATATTAATTTACAGACACACTACTTATTGCTTAATTGTTTGGTATATGATCGTTTCCCTAAGAGCCTTTACACACGGTGTATTTTTTACGCGCAGAAGACGCAGACAACGCATTAAACTTTTGCACACGTTCACAAATACAGTGGCGGCCTAAACGCGCGTTTGTCACAAGCGCGTCATCTGCGCGTAGGCAATAAAGACGAATGCGGGTGGCGAAGAGGCGCAGTGGCGTGAGTATCCGTCCCTTCTCCACCTCCTTCCTCAGCCAACGCAATGTTGTTGTTGAATCGATTCAAACGCAAACGCGGCAGTCTGCTTTTTGAGCGTCTACGACGCGCGTCAACTGCGCGTAAAAAATACGCAGTGTGCATTGGCTCTAAGCCAGACTTAACAGATTATTTAAATGTAACAATTTTTGCTTTATCAAACGTTTGTTCCAACGTTCCCATACCATCGTGCAAGCAAACGTGTGATTGTCCCGGACCCTTATCCGCTGGATAAGATTAATGACGTAGTTTATTCTGCACCTGGGACGGCTGGCCAGCACTCTGAATGCAATCGCCTTTGTTATTTGTTACTACCATAAGAGGCACTTTTATACCTACAATCGTTCCGTATTTTTGCGAGTTAAGCGTTTAAAGTTCAATGGTTTGAATGGCAGTTTTGAACTGTGTAAAATCTAAACTTAATTTTTTAAATTCAATTTTCAAAGAAATTTTATTAGCTTTTTAAGTTTTAAGAACTTTATAATCATTTACCATACAATCATACAAATCACTTGATTGCAAACTGAGAAATTTACTGTACTATGATTTCAGAGTAATGAATTCAACTTTGGAATCAACCTCGGAACCAGTTCATCAAGCGTCCACCTCTTAATCACAGAGATCGTCAACTTATTTCATTTTAAGTTTTAATTCTTAACCGCTCAATACAGACATCATGTAAAAAATATAAAACCCCTAGATATTCATCAAAACTCAATGTAAAATCTGAAAAGTCACTCGCCGCATCTTGTCCATTATCGATCGAGTTTAACGAAAGCCTCCTCATTATGCGAGTCTAGACCTCGTTAATCCGGCTTTAAGACGTAAGTTCATCTCATTCCTCGCCTCTTTATCTACGTCAGGCCGCAGGTGTCTTCAATGCAACCTCTCATCTCCCCTCCTCCCCCATTCACACCCCCTAACAACACAAGATAACACACACTGTCACATCTCTTGATGAATTGCTTATTAGATTGTCGACGTTGTTTTGCACTTACTCTCGCGCCAATATCGGCCATTTTGTTTTTTTTGCGATAACGAATTTATGACGTGTCGGGTATGGGTGCGTTTACCCTATTAAGTCGTTCGATTTTTTTGCTAGTTCAGTAAAGTGGTATAGAGCGTGTAAAAAACAAAATATGATGTTTACCTTATTGGAAAACTCTTTGCGTTCCTGCTTAAAACTGGTTGTAGGAAGAGCTTTATTCGTGTTACTTTCGCCGTGATGTAAGAAATTGTTTGGTGTTTGGGTTGATTTCATCTTCAAGCAAGTATTAATGTTTTTTTTTATAATACTAAGTGACGGGACGAACAAGTCGTGTGCCTGGTGGTAAGCGAAGTTGCCAAAAGAAGTTGGACAAAATTGGTTCCTCGCTCTTTCTGCCGTCTCCTTTTGCAACATCACATCCTCACTAGTGGAGACCACAGCATCACATGCTCTCTCACTCACCAAAATGACTTGTGTGACGCTGGTCAGCGAGAGATCACTCCCGATAGGCTTATCGTGCCGTATTAAAAATTGTCGGTCTATCTTATGGGAGGCTATTCGAAACTGTGACTTCCAGTTCGTGTTCGTGTTAGCTAAAGATATTTTAATGTCGATTAATAACTAGCCGGAATCGATACCCTACTGAATCGCGGCAGTCTCTTTTTTCTTTTTTCGTAGTTCGTCACATTTGCGCTAGCAAATATTTTTCTAATATTTCTTTTTCTCAGTTCGTGCACGTTCGAATGAACATGGTGTGATAATTAAATATTTTTCCCATAAACTTAAAATATTGACCTTAATTGTCTCATATAATTCTGCTTCTTCAAAATTTCTGCTTCGTCGTTATTCGTAGAATTGTATTTTTATGTTAATTTCAAAGTTCATGCATATTGGTTAAGGAACCAAAGTTCCGCTCGTAGATTAGTCAATTTAAGCGGATGACAAGAAAGCTTCGCCAACTACGCTTCGGCAAAAACTAATATCACCTCATCGTTTAATGACGTAAGCTAAAAAACGCTTCCTTATACTTAGACCTATTTTTAAAGAACCCGTTATATTCATGAATTTATAAACCTTTTAATTATTGTCAATCTCTGTTGTATGTGAAGGTTTACCTTTAAGTACCTTTTATAATATCTATGTGGGTAGCTGGTTGTGGCACTTAAATATATCGGTCATTCTAAACACGTCTTCGGTGTATCATTGAATTGACCTTTTATAAAATTACTACAATCTCGATGATTTACTTTTTTTTGGACTATTCATTCATGTGTTAGTTATGACGATCCTTGAAGTATAGACATTATTATACTTTGTCATTATTATCAGAAACTTAACACTTTGAAGTGCTCTTATATCGTGTACATGGTATAACAAATTGTTAATTTTATTGTTATTGTTTAATTTTTTTTTACGATCTCTATATAATATTTATGAGACATAAATAAAGTAATATCTGCTACGATCCGAACAACTTATTTTTTTCGATAAATAACATGTTTTTTTTTGTTACAGATGAACCCACAAGATGATCCACAAATTTGACACCCACGGCACCAACTGAACCATCAATCATGGAGAAACCCCAAGACCTGGTCTTGGAATCTCTCGATCCCGATTCCTCGAGAGAGGACGATCTCAAAAACCTCCTTCGAGGAGAAAGAGAAATCAACCCAGGAGAAGTAGGCTTCAAAAGAAACGTATTTGAAAAAGATAAAACAAAGGAAAACGGATCAGGAAAAGATGGATCAACAAAAGATAACATAAATAAAGATAGCAATAATAGTGTTTTAGACAATAATTTTAGTAATTATGACAATATAAGGTGTAAGGGAAGGTATGGGGGAGTGAGTTTGAAGGCTTTAGTGTTATTGTTTTTTGTCACCATCCTGGTTGGGACGAGGCTAGAAGCAGAAGCGAGGAGTGCAGGTCAGTCATATATTTTTTATTGTATTGTTTATGTTACTTCTTACTACAGCCCATTCCGCTATAAAAAGGGAAATAATAACGGTTCGTAAAAACAAATTAGGTAGCAGCGGACTAAGGCTAATTGATGGTATATGCATAAAATGTATATAGTATAATAAATTTAAACATTTGACAACCTCGGTGGCCTAACGGTTTACATAGAAAAATTCGTGAGGTTCGCTGGTTCGTTCCGTGGCCAGTTGGTGGCCGTCTGGCACGGTATGCTAGAAGTCGTCGGTTCGTTCGTTCCGTCGTTATTCGTTCGCTAAGTAAATAACACAGTAACATTCGTATTTTGAATAAGGTCATTTTGAATTTGCTTTTCGGAGCTTTTATTACTACCCATATAAAAATCGGTAATTGAATATCAAAATATCACTTGATGAATTATAGAGGATCACACTAATCGGGTGATTGGTGGGTGGGATGGGCGTGTAATTTACATCCATCGTTACAAAATTACTATTGGTAGCGTGTATTATGAGAATCGGCACATGTGTTGTACTAAAGGACAATTTATGAAAGGGTTGATTACTCGGAAAATATATGTCTATGATTGAATTTGATACAGGTTTAATAATAGTTTAGTTGTTAAGTGACGACATGGTTCTATACAATATTATATTATTCGGGCTAATTTAGATCGATTAACTTTGAACATAGTTTCAGTTACTTAAAGTATTTTTTACCCCACGCCGGAAAAGTTAAAAGTTTAATGGCAGTGGAGTTCCTTGTGAAAGAATTTGTCCTCACCTTACCTATTTCTGCCGCCAAGCTGTGATGTGAACATTACGGCGTTCCAGTTTTGAAGGGTAAGTGTGCTGGCGAAATTACAGGCACTTGTCAAGTTATGTCTCCGGGTAACGTGCGCAGTGGCAGTGCCATAAGATGTTTGCGAAGCTCTGAGTGCCACTGCAACTGTTATGGATTGGAATGTGGGGGGATCTCCTTTTGTGCGCATGACAAAAATTTATTAAAAAGGTTGAGAGACAAAAAGGTAGACCGTATAATTGTGTCCAGCTTTCAATGGCGAAGTATCAATATTTGAAGAGAGTAAGATGGTGTAAATGAGAATGGATTGTCTATATCTATTATATATTATGGATATATATTGTGGATATTAGTAGAAATAAAGCTCCTTGTGAAAGAGTTCGTCCAGGCAAGTACTACTAACCTTACCTATTTCGGCCGCCAAGCAATAATGTGAATATTAATTACTACGTTCCGGTTTTGAAGGGTAAGGGTGCTGGTGAAATTACAGGCACATGGAACTGTCAACTCATGTCTCTGGGTGACGGGCGTACTGGCAGATCCTCTCAGATCTCTGAGTGGCAAAAGTGAAATTAGATCCATTCTGAAACGTAATTATTCTTGGTGTTGCGAGCTTTCAAATATAGCTGACATGTCGTACAGTCGCTTGCATGTTCATAATTGCGTACCTTTAACTTTGTCAGCTCTTTATGTATGTCTTGGTCTCTTTAAAATGCTTATAAACAAAATTACGCTTGCGAATTTTACATTTTCAAAGAAATAAAGAAAACAAAAAAGTGTATTTGGTTAATTTTTAGGTTAGATTTTAATTGATTTTAAAAAAGAATGGGGTACCCAATTCGACTGTGTTTTTTGTGTATGTATGTCACGCTATAAGTTATGACCGATAATAAGTTATGAACAGATTTTGATGATTCTTTTTTTGTTGGAAAGGGGGTACCTCAGTAGTAGTCCCATTTAAATTAGAAAAAAAATTCCATCTCAAAGGGTGGCAAACTAGGGGATGAATGACTTTTGAGGTCGGTCTTTTAGTACTCCGTACTGAGATTATCTGTACCTAATTTCGGTGGCAATTTTTATTATTTAAACATTCTAGAATATTATCATAACGTATTACTTTATTGAATAGCTTTGGTGGACGAAAGGTTACCATGCTGGTCTGCCACACAGAGGTCCCGGGTTCGATTTCCAGACCGGGAGAATATTTCTGTAGCATGCATTTATTACTATCGTCAGTTTGGGTGTAGTTTGTGGTCATCTATGTGTGTTTCCATGGTACCGGGTTTCCCTAGAGGGAGACTGTCAGTGGTTGCGTTATTGTTATATTATAGTGTAGTTATTATTTAATATGTCATGATAAATAAACCGGAATACTTAAAAAACAAAAATTGCCACCAAAATTAACTAGAGCTATATAACTTGAAAATTACTCGTTTGATTCCAAGTATTTTTGTGCTTAAAATACAATGGAGTTTATCCGTGAACCAAACAGTGACGGTTTCTTCTTTGAAATGAGTTAACAGACATACCTTAACTAATGAGCAATGACTATGACTGCCATTGACAATAAAATTCTATAGACAAGGAAAACCTCAAACGTCTACCACCTACTGTGACGACGTCCATTATTACGTTTCCTCAAAAAAAATGCAAAAATTACTCATCTGAGCTCAACGTTGTTTGTCTGTCATGACTAATCAGACGCATGGCAATTATAAAAAGACCGCTCGTTTACTCAGCCTGGAAAATATAGCGGAGCATCTTACACTGGTTCTTATTTGAAAATACACTAATGTCCGTTAAAAAAATAACTCTCACCAACTTAGTCATAGGTAGCTTTGTGAATTAATAAGAAATCACACAATAGTGAATGAGTAAATCACAGAACCGTTTCGATACGCTAGTAATAATACTAAATAATTGCATTATTATTAATAATTTTGGCTTGGATTCCTTTGAGCTTTGTCTTCGTTTAATTATGTTTCTGTAAATATGGCCGCCACAAAGAGGATAGGCATATAGTTGAGGCGGCGTGCTTGGATTGATTCGGGATTCCTTAGAACGGGCAGATACGGGTATTTTAGTTCGAGATTCGTGTAATTTCGCGTTTAAGTCTTCGATTAAGACAAATAGCACTATCCTATTCCACTTTAAACTAGATTTCACAAAATAATTGAAAGTCAAAATAAAAACGACACTTTCCCTCCAAAAGGCCCAGAGCGAATCTAAACAATTGCATATACGTGTATGAATTTAGTGATGTGGGATTGTGAATGATTTCTATATTCGATTCATTAGTAATTACTAATCCTGTTATTCGAATGACAAATTAGTAACCTACTAATTTTCGTATTCGAATAATCTGATTGATCATTTATTATTAATCCATAGATTCTATAGACCACAACAATACTCGTGATCACCTAGCTCTCTGACGTATGGTAAATATCGTAAATGTGATGGGAACAGGAATGTACTTAGGATAACCCGTAAATACAACTAGAGTCCGTCTTTTTTGAAGACGGAGTAAAATGTCATTTGTAGGGTTACCAATTTTCATAAAATTTTAAATAATTACGTAGTTGTTGTCGATAGATTTATCGAAAATTTGTGAAAAAAAAATAGAATTTTACCAAAAATGACTGAATTGTGTGTGTTCCGACGTTCTGATGATTGCTAATTGCATTATTTATTATTATATATATTATTCTTATTTTGACAGTTGGCCTACTAGTATCGAGATCCATTTTTATTCATCTATATCGTAATTGTTGACTCTTCCATGCTGTAGCTCTAGTAATTTGTGGAAAATTGTGGAAATAAAAATATAAACCTTGACGTTAATAAGTCTATTATTCTTGTTGACTTTTCATAAAATAGTATTTACTAAACAGACACATGTACTGTAGATTCTTGTTGTCACACTTAAACAAGTTTCCTCGACTTTTGGCTATTTTAACAATCAATAAGTACGCCATAACTTTTACTCGTTGTAATCCAACCTCATCGTGTTTTTTGCGCGTGAACGCTAAATTATTACCAACCAATGGCATGCTAGATAACAAAAAGTGCGAAGTAGATGACGTGTCAATTATATGAAATTAAAAGAAACTGCTTAATAAAATTACGTTTAATTACTTAAGTTAAAAAAAGGATTTTTTCCCTTTACACAATAGTAATATTATTTAACATAAAGAAATGTAATGTAAAAGAATTACCTGATTGATAACAAATGAAGTTTCAACAACAAAATAATGGACTTGTAAGTAAAAAAGGGTGTGATGTCAACAATGCGACAATTAAATTAAAACAGAAAGTTTTCAAGGAAATTACGCTTAATTACCTAAAATATGAAAATGGGCTTTACGCTTCACACAATTATTATTCAAAAGAAGAAATTGCAATGTGTAAGAGTTACTTAATTAATAAGAAAGTAAAACAATAACGAAATCTTTCCTTTTTACGCAACTTAACAATAAAGAAAACAATTAGATTATTAAATATTACTCTTAAAATAAATATAAACTACGCTCTATGTCTACGCCGCGACATTTACATTTTAACAAAAGTAGTCGGATTTGATTATCTATATTGAATTCAAATGAAAAATTTCAAATTATGTCTCCTCTTTGTATTTTTCATATACATTGTTCTAAATGCAGTGTATTAACTTACAAAAATTGACGATTCGAATGAACTTTTGCTCAGAAATTGGATGAATAATGTTCGAGGATGATCCAAATGAAACAAATTCGGTTATTTATTTCATAAGCGTTACCAATATTCAGACGATAGTCGATAGAATATGTATCGACTGCAATCACTAGCTGCTCAGAAGCGGGTAACACTTTTGCACAATGAACTGTAACTTTAACCCGTCTTCAAAAAGACAGACTATAAAATAATAATGTAACAACCCTACGCTCCGAGTGAAATATAGGCATTTTCACGTCGAACGATCGGAAGTTGCCGTACTTGCTCTTTTTATAATATTCTAATATCTATGGTTTAAAACTTACGACGAAGTAGGATTGATGATCTTACATAGGACACGATTGCTTCATTAAAACTGGTCGAAGGAAAAGCGGATGGCAAACCTGGACAAGGACATCTGAGATTAAGTTCATTGACCAAATCAAAAGAAAAGTGCGAACGTCGTATATGTGCATCGTATTTAACAGCCCGACAAA